CTAAAGGAAAGTTCAATAACACCTGAAATTAAGCAACTTATAAAGTTATGTTTATTTCTATAGTTCAATGATTTTTTCTAAATGCCACTTTTAGTAGACCTATAATATTTGGGACATTCCTGTGAAACATAGACTTGCCAATATTCCAAGTTTAATATATTCAATAACTAATTTCAAAGAAATGGATCTGCCTATCTTAACCAAAAAGTGATCAGCATAATTCCCAATTGATATTTTTCGAAAAGTTTTTGAATTTTCAAAAGTGACTCAAAAATTTTGGCGAAAACGTTGACTACTATCTGATAATTAATAAGAAACAAAATATTATTTGATAATTATGAGGAAACGACTTGGGCAATAATCGTATAAAACTGATCAACTCGAGCTTTTAACTAGTTTCATCGAAAGGGTTTTAAATTTTTGAAATCGGTAGAGCAGTTTTGGAAAAAACCTCAACGCATTGTCATATTTGGTTCACATATTACTTTTTTCCAGTTCTAGTGTCAAATGATTCAGAAAGATTTGAAAGATAGAAAAAATAAAATTGGCTAATCAAATTCTCTGGTAGAAACTAGTCTTTCGGGAAGTAGTTAAAAAATATAATATATTTTGTTGGATTTATTTCATAACCATAATACATTAATATATATATTTAACGTATAACATTTAATGTCTTTTAGAGCCGATTCACTAGTGTTTTTTGTAAATTTTCCTATCATATTTTAACATGAATGGATTAATTTCAAGGCAAGGACAAAAATGAAATTGCAAGTTTGTTTGAATGAGCTATTAAATGTTTTAAAATAAATAAAATAATTAAAGACCAATTAAAGAAACAAAAAATATATACTATTTCACAAGCAAATAGCTTTTGACCAGAAGCAATTTTATAATAAATCTTTACGCAATTTTAAATAGTTCATTGACATCGATTATAAATGAATAACAACGTAGACTTAAAACTTAAAACATATTTTTACCTTTTTATTAAAAAAAAAACTTATAATTTTATTAATGTGTTAAGTTTTCAACAAACACATTAATTATACTTCATAGTAATATTCATTGGATCAATTCGTTTACCCTATTTTCGTTATGAAATATTTTATTTTACCGAGATCATGAGCACTTTTCCTAAACGTAGTCGTGGTTATAAGTCGGTTCGTGTAATATTAAAGTTTTATGAATTGTATATTCATGATGAACATGATTTTTATACTGCTGTTGCAGCAATCATAGAGCTCTTTGGATTACGGCTATAAACTGACTGAAGTATAATCTCTATATTGATGTCGTAAATATTAATTACTTCCAAAGAAATAATGCGGTCATATTTATTTTATGTTCTGCATGCAGATATTTATGAGCTGTTTAATGAAAACTCGAGGTAGACTCGTAAAATACAAATAAAGGCTGAAGAAACATTCAAGAATCAGAAATTTATAGTAGACTTGTGTCAAGTCAAATTTTGCACACACATACTCTATCTACTTTTGGTCTCAGACGATTCAGAATGACTTAAAACACAGAGAAAACATAGAAAACAAACAATGTTGAAAGTCAGATTTTACAAATACTTCTCTTTTCCGAGGTTAATTTTTTTTTATTTCTAGTGTATTTGCAATTATTTTTCCAAAATTGTTATAAAAACGAGTTCCTAACCCAGGTAGGAATTCAGTCTATGATGGTATGAGGAGTTGGCAACCTTCTTGCCACGACTGGTTGGACACATTTAACAATATGTCAACGGATATACAACGGTTATTAGTTTTTCCCATTCCATCTTATTCTTTCTTATATATATTGATAGTTCCTTCAGAAAACGGATATCACGACTTTATAGAAGAGCCCATTGCAAAGGGTGTAGTCCCAGGATAAAATAGACCACTGACACAAAATTGAAACGCTGAATATCACTAAAATATTGATAGTTGGATAAATTGATAGTTCATAATTGGTCAATAATACTATTATATTCTTTATTGTGTTAACTTCGTTAGTCTCTATTTAAACACCTTAACTCTAATTACTTGTTTATTGTCTCTGATTACACTCTCCACAATATTCATCTCTGTATGTCTTTATCTCTCACAATATATAATCTACTCATACACATACATTATTCTTTTATTATTCTATCCATATGTTATGCTATTTACGTCAACAATTGTTTTTTAATAGTAATCAGAACTAAGAATATAAACCATGGTGATGATCTTTTCCTCAACTACGTTCTTCAAAGAAGACACTAAATGGTTGTGCTAACACTAAAACTATTCTATATATTTATTATAATTGATATTGTTCACGCCAAATTAGACGTGACAACGCTGCACTCATTTTTCTAAGAAAATATTACATTTGCAACGACGCATAGGCAATTTGCATCTCAAGATTCAACTACAAAGGGTCCTGCTAGATACCTGAAGGCGGCACTAACAATATAGTCTTAACCCGGTCGCCAAGCTATCCACATTCAAATATTCCAATATTATATCAATATTAAAACTTTATCATACAAACAGTGTAAATTATATTCTACAAATAAATAAGTGTAAATCTATTTGTTATTAATCAATATTTACATTTTAAAACGGTTGATAGAGCCACTAATTCTATCTGGTCCTTCAGCTTATACTTCAACAAAAAACATTGGTCCTTCGAGCCGGATGCGTCACCAGTGCGAAGAAAATAATTAAAATCTTAAATCTAAATCAAAAATTAAATAAAGTGAAAGTTCTAAACAAGACAGGAAGTTCTAACTTTGGCGCTACACCTACGAGCGAGCACAGCAAGCAGCGAGTATATCAGGTTAGTCAAGCATTCCTTCCTATCAATCTTTCCTTATTTTAATATTTAGAGTTTTAATTCAATCTGTGTCAAAATGGAATCATTAAATAAACTCAAAATGAAACAGCGAGTTACTAAAACACGTTTAACAAAATACGAAAAAGTGTGCAGGCAAATGTCGGAACTACCTGCTTGCGACTTAAATATTGCAGACATAAAACGCCTTATCGATGATGTGAAGCCTTTGTTTGAAATCTTTGAAAATACCGTAATTAGTATAACAGCATTACTAGAAGACGAAAGTCAAATTAATAATTTAATAGAAATAGAGTTAGATGAATTTTTTGAAAAACATAATAATTGTTTATCAACTTTACTTAAACTTAGTCAGGCAGCATCAAGTAAGTCGGATACTAGTTCGAATAGTAATTCCAATGATACCACTATAACAAATAATTCGAACAACATAAAACTACCTCAAATCAATTTACCTCAGTTTGACGGCTCTTACTTAAATTGGCTACAATTTTATGATTCGTTTTCTTCTTTAATTCATAATGATTGTAACATCGGTAATTCTCAAAAATTTTATTATTTAAAATCTTGCGTTAAAGGAGAGGCGGCAAGCCTTATAGAATCCCTACCGGCAACTGCCGATAATTATATAATTGCATGGGATTTACTGAAAACGCGTTTCGAAAATAAGAAAATAATCGTAAACAATCATATTAAAAAATTATTTGATCACCCGCCAATGCATAACGAATCAGGTAAAGACCTTCGTAATCTAATAGATGCGTTTAATAAACATTTAAGATGCTTAAAAATGTTACAACAACCCGTCGATCAATGGGACGCGTTATTAAATTATCTTGTAATTTCTAAAATTGATAAGAAAACTCATCAAGAGTGGGAGATGTTAATGAATAAAGGCTCTGAACTAGTTACATTTTCCGAACTTAGCAATTTTTTAAATCAACGCTGCACAATATTAGAAGCAATTAATCCGACTGAAACAAGAATCGGAAACTCCAGTAAATTTAAAGATATAAAACCTAATTACACAAAACATACAAAGTCTTACGCTACATCCACTAATCACAAAAATATTTGCCCAATTTGCAAAGAGCCATTTCATTCACCGTTCAAATGTCAAGGTTTTCGGGCACTATCTCCAGAAGATAGAGTAAGCAAAGTAAATCAATTAAAACTATGCACGAATTGCTTACGTTACAATCACAACAGTGATCAATGTACTTCTTTAAATCGTTGTGCCTTTTGTAATTCAAATCATCACAGTCTTCTGCATATAGACTCAAGCCAATTACCAGCTGTTAATAATGCACCACAAAATGTTTCGTGCCATACCGAAAATGATTCAAGTCAAATCATCTTATCTACCGCAGTAATTAACGTATTAGATAGCAATAATAGATATAGAGCATGTAGAGTATTATTAGATTCGGGATCACAATCCAATTTCATCACGGAGAAATTTGCTAATGAGCTCGGTTTACATAAACAATCAATAAATATGTCAGTCCGGGGAATAAATCAAAATTCAACGGAAATTAAGTCAAAAACAACAATTACTTTAAAATCGTGCATTAATAACTTTTCATTAGATCTATCCTGCTTTATCTTAAATAATATAACAAATAATTTGCCGACGGTATCATTCAATAAAAATATTTTAAATATACCAAATTATATAAAATTAGCGGATCCCACATTTAATAAAAGCAATAAAATCGATATTTTAATAGGTTCGGAAATATTTTGGAATATATTTTGTAAAGGATATATTCATCTAGGAAAAAATAGACCTATTTTGCAAAATACACAGTTCGGGTGGGTTATTGCTGGCAGCGTACCTCTCAACAATTCCAGTTCTTTTACGATATGTCATCATACGGCTAATTTAGAAACTCAAGTTCAAAAATTCTGGGAACTGGAAGCGTGCAGCGATATACAACATTTTACCGAATCAGAAAAACAGTGCGAACAACATTTTGTTGCCAATACAACGCGGGCAAACGACGGGAGATTTATAGTTAAAATTCCGTTTACAGACAATATAAAAAAAAATAGGGAATAGTAAGCAAATCGCGTTTAAACGTTTTATTTTACTTGAAAACCGTTTACGAACAAACAAAAATCTATCTAACGAATACAAAAATTTCATGAATACTTATATAACACTAGGGCACATGAGCGAAGTCAACGAATCTTCCGAACCCGCGACGTGTTTCTATTTGCCTCACCACGGGGTGGTAAAACCAGACAGTTTAACAACGAAATTGCGTGTAGTGTTCGATGCATCTTGCAAAACCGATGCAGGCCTGTCGTTGAATGAACTACAACTTGTTGGACCCACAATTCAAAATAATATTTTTTCTATCATACTAAGATTCAGAAGACATGCGTTTGTACTTACAGCTGATATAGAAAAAATGTACAGACAAGTTTTGGTTCACGAAAACGACAGAAAAATGCAAAGAATATTCTGGAGGGACAATCCTAGCAGCAAATTAAAAATTTATCAATTAAATACAGTAACATACGGGACAGCATCTGCGCCATTTTTAGCCATACGCTGTTTGGAGCAGTTAGCCAGAGAAAACATAACTAACTATACAAAGGAATGCGAAATTCTCAGAAATGATTTCGACGTTGACGATTTATTAACTGGAACTGATAACATATCCGAATTATTCACTATTAAAAATAACCTTTGTAATATTTTACAACAAGCTAAATTCAATCTATATAAATTTAATTCTAATTATTCAAAACTTTTAAATGCAGATAATCCAACTTTAAACATCGGTGAACAAACTATCAAAACTTTAGGTATATCTTGGAATTCGGTAACAGACAGTTTTGAATTTGACTACAAAAATATAAGAATAAATCAAATAGTTAGTAAAAGATCCATTTTATCGGCAACAGCGCAAATGTACGATCCTATGGGCTTTTTATCTCCAATTATCGTCATACCAAAACTAATAATTCAAAGCCTATGGCGATTAAACTTATCATGGGACGAGCCCATTCCTTCGGAACTAGAAAATAAATGGAAACAGTTTTGTTTCGAAATAAAATCTATTAAAAACTTGAAAATTGAAAGACATATATTTTGTAATAATCGTATAAACACAGAATTACATGGCTTTGCTGACGCATCAGAGCAAGCTTACGGCGCGTGTATATATGTACGGTCTATTAACAAATATTCTGAAATCAAAATCAAACTAATAGCGGCAAGATCTCGAGTAGCACCATTAAAAAATATTACACTCCCCCGTCTCGAGCTTTGTGCGGCACAACTACTAGCAAATCTTGCGCAAATAACGAAACGTGCATTAAATATCGCGTTTGACAAAGAATTCTATTGGAGCGATTCCACTATCACTCTTTCGTGGATAAGATCTCCATCTTATAAATGGAAAACCTTCGTTGCCAATAGAGTTTCTGATATTCAAACAAAAACCGACGCAAATAACTGGCTACATGTCCGATCGGAAGACAATCCAGCGGACCTCATATCACGCGGGTGCTATACACATGATTTATTGAATTCATCCTTGTGGTGGGCAGGCCCATCTTGGCTACAAAATCTAACTGAAACACAGCGACGTGCAACTGACAATATTTCAATTCCTGAAACTGATGTCGAAAGTCGAATCACAAGTTTGACTTGTACAAAAATTAACAATAACGAACATTTTTTCTTATACTCTTCCCTTATTAAACTCGTGCGCGTAACTGCTTTTTGTTATCGATTTTTACAAAATTTAAAACTAAAGAAGAAAGAAAAAGAACTACTGTATGGCCCACTCACGGTCGATGAATTCAATAATTCACTAAACAAGTTAATAAAAATATCACAATATGAAATATTCAAACAAGACATAGATATAGTCGCGCGTGGGGAAGCATTACACAAATCGTCGAAATTAAAATCATTAACACCGTTTTTAGACAAAAATGGAATATTGCGCGTCGGCGGTAGGATAAAGAATTCAAATTTACCGTATGATAAATGCCATCCGATAATACTACCAAAAAATCATCAATTGACTATTCTAATAACTAGGCATGAGCATTTAAAACTGTATCATTGCGGAGCACAGATGTTATTAAATGCGTTGCGTAATACTTATTGGCCTATCGGAGGCAGAAACCTGACAAGATCGATCGTGAAAAAATGCGTAACATGTTTTAAGGTAAAACCCACATTTATTAATCCAGTAATGGGCAATTTGCCTAAATATCGCGTTACACCGCAGTCACCTTTCTTCATATGCGGAGTAGATTACGGAGGTCCTATCTTATTAAGAGATCGTCAAACAAGAGGATACAAAAAAATTAAGGCTTACATATGTTTGTTCGTGTGCCTTGTTACAAAAGCAATACATATCGAATTAGTATCTGATTTAACTACGAATAGTTTTTTAGCCACTTTTAAACGATTTATGGCGCGACGCGGAAAACCTCGCGAAATCTATTCCGATAATGGAACGAACTTTATAGGCGCAGCATCAGGATTAAAGGAGCTTTAAAAATTTTTACAAACAAAATCAAATCAAAATAAGATTGTTAATGATATGACCAACGAAGGCGTGTCATGGAAGCACATTCCACCAAACTCTCCTCATTTTGGAGGAATTTGGGAGGCGGGCATAAAGTCGTGCAAGGCTCATTTAAAGCGAGTATTGGGTAATGCTATTTTAACTTTTGAAGATTTTTATACGGTTTTGACACAGATCGAAGCAATATTAAACTCGAGACCAATCTCTCCCTTAAGCTCCGACCCCAATGACTATGATCCTTAACTCCTGGTCACTTTCTTATTGGAAAATCCTTAACATCTACTCCCGATCCATCAGTGCTTGAAACCCTTGATAACAGGCTTTCTCGGTATCAACGACTACAGAAACTTGTGCAACATTTTTGGAAGCATTGGCACAAAGAATACGTATCGGAGCTGCAGGCAAGAACAAAATGGCAAGTTCAACCATCGCAACAGGCTGAGGTAGGCGATATGGTAGTGGTCAGAGAAGACAATTTACCTCCACTACACTGGCGATTGGGGCGTATTCTTGACACACATCCAGGAGATGATGGACTTGTGCGTGTTGTGACAATCAAGACACAAAATGGTGTACTCAAACGTGCAATTAATCGAGTTTGTGTGTTACCAAAACAATAGACAATATAAATCAAACCAATAGACTGTTATTAACTCAAAGTGTTAAACTATAATTCTAATTTTGAAATCATATACCCTATATTATTTCAAGGGGGGGAGAATGTTCACGCCAAATTAGACGTGACAACGCTGCACTCATTTTTCTAAGAAAATATTACATTTGCAACGACGCATAGGCAATTTGCATCTCAAGATTCAACTACAAAGGGTCCTGCTAGATACCTGAAGGCGGCACTAACAATATAGTCTTAACCCGGTCGCCAAGCTATCCACATTCAAATATTCCAATATTATATCAATATTAAAACTTTATCATACAAACAGTGTAAATTATATTCTACAAATAAATAAGTGTAAATCTATTTGTTATTAATCAATATTTACATTTTAAAACGGTTGATAGAGCCACTAATTCTATCTGGTCCTTCAGCTTATACTTCAACAAAAAACAGATATTAAAATTAGAGCATTGATGGTCATATTTTCTAACATTGATTAACGTAATTTATCTTAATTAAGCAATACCAAAATGGGCTATTTCCACTTGGAAATATTTTAATCTATAGTTTCATGTGGAAATGTTTATCAGTACCTACTTCTTCATATCAGATTTTAAATATTCTCAGACAACTTATCTATAATTATTTTATATATAGAACAATACTCTAAAACTTGAAAATAGTTCTAGCAGAATTCTATAACCATTTCAACCCCTTATAACTCCAATAGCCAATTTTTGCAAAAAACTGACTAACTTTTGTATCATATAAAAAATTATTTTTTTATAATTTTTATCCATATAACTAAAAGCAAATGTGACAAATTAAGTTATGAAATATATGACAGATGAAATAAATAACTGAGAATTTTAGAAAAAACCCTTATTTGTTCGTTTTAGCTAACCTTAATTGTTAATTTTACTATTCAATATTATAGTTTTATGCATGGTGTATGCCACAATATTGATAATTATATCAATAATACGTAAGAATTATAAAACCGGAGTTAAATTCCATAAATTTGCGAAAAAAATACACAAAATTACCTAAATATATTGCAAAAAATCAGTAAATATATAAAAATTTCTAGAACTAGAATTTTTGAAAAAAGGTAAATATTATCAATCAATTACCGATAAAATTTCCGCATAATTACCCTATATAAAAGTATATATGATAAATAAATTAGACATTTGAGAAATGGCACATAGATTGGATGCCAATTTATAATTACTGATCAGAATAGATATTGTGCTGATTTTATATATCAAAACTAATAACTAAGCCAATACTATGTGAAAACTACAATACCCCTAGGAATATAAAGCTCATAAATTAGCAAAAAGTGATGTAACATGATAACAAATACAGTGCCATAACAACACTAGAATTTTTCGACGTATTATAAATGTAGAAATTATTACTATGGTTTTCATAATATAATGATCCCATTCCATATAAACATATGCAAAACCTTGTTCAAATAATGCATTTTTTTACTAATTAATAAATACATTCCTTTGTTTAACAATCATTATTGTATTGTAAATGTGTTGTGTATGAAAACGTTTAGCATTTGAAAAAAAAAATCATGGTTCCCAAAAATTATTTAGCTTTTACTATTATAATAGTTTTAGTTTTAGTACCTATTATGTTATGCCACAATTCTACGTTACCTTCAAAATTATCAATTACTGGATTTTCTAGATTTCTAGATTTAATCCAAAAATACAGAATACACACCTGCTTAATGGAGGTCGCAATAACGTTGAATGTCGGGAATAATATGAAAATTTCTATACGCTCGCACTAGAAAAATATAAAAGGAAATTGTTACTGGGTTCACCTTATGTCACAATATCAAATATATTGATCGTTCATGTGTCCAATATGCCAGTCCGTCCTTGATATGAGATGAGGGAGGTCCTGCATGCGAGATTTCTTTTGTGTAACCGACTTGAAAACTTTTAATAAAACATGCGATAAAGAAAGCACTGCGCTGTAATTTCAAATTATTACATTCTTTACTTTGTCGGAGGCAAAAACAAACGATAAAAATATAAAAATAGCTTGACATACGACGACGAATGTTAGAAAATTATCTTGAAGGACATCGAAGAATAAAAAATATAATAAAGGTGCTACTGGTTCGACATTACTTTTATATATTTTGTCTGGATACAATTGGTTTAATACAATTTAATAAAATACTGTCATCCATACTGCTTTCATTTTATATTTTGATAGAAAAGGACTCTTAAGCAGTATAATAAAATATGCTACTAGAGAACAAACCCATTTTGCTCAATTAAACATTTTTAACTGTCCATAGGGTAATTTATTGTAATAGCAAAAAAATGAAAATTTTTTGCATTTAACGCTTGAAGACCCCCTAAACATTGTGGCACACCTTACAAATATTAATGTAGATGTGTGTATACTATGTGTTTTGTATGGATTCTATTTTTAGTACACGATTTCGAGAGCGTGGATCAATTGAATGATTCGAAAACATTCATGAAAGGATGTGCCGATTTCTGGCGGATGTCTTTCAGTTTCGGAGATTGAAATTTGAAATTCAGTGTGCAAAAAAAATCAGTTTTTGAGAGAATGGAGCATCCTTTCGGGTTAACAGGTAGATAAGTAGACAGTTATACAAATAGACAACAAGAAGATAGACATGTATACATATAGACAGGTTAACAGGTTGACACCAAGACATGTAGACATGTAGACACGTAAACACGAAGAAAGGTAGACAGTAAACGGGTGCACAGGTAGACAGTTATAAAAGTAGATGAGTGGACAACTTAGATAAGCAGTCAGTTAGGCAGGTAGTCATTCAAGCAAGTAAACTGTTAAACAGGTAGAATAGTTATGAGCTTTACACAAATCAAATTTTTTTATTAAATCGCGTATACACACGTATCAAGAAGTTTATGACCTAGAGCAAAATGCCACTTACAATTAGTTAACTTCCCGTAGGGTACGTTATAGTAATCGCAAAAAAATTGAAAATGACAATTTTTCTAAACCTTCACGTTTCACAGGTTTATGAACATTTTGGCATACCTTAGAAGAAATGCATGTATGTGTGTGTACGTGAGTGTTTTTTTATAGTGTATGTATGTGCGGATACAATTTTTCGAGAACACGCATCATCTACTTTGAATGATTCAAAAAATATTCGATCTAATTGATAAGGAGACGTGCTAATTAGTTTTTAGCAAAGAGCAGATTTAGCCGCTTCAAAGATACGGGGGAAAAAGTGCCAAAAATGGTAATTCAATTTTTGAGAGAACCGAGCGTCCCATTTGAATGATTCAGAAAGCATTATCAAAAATCAATTTATTTCAATGTTCTAAAAAAATGTTGATTTTTTTTTAAATATATTTTTGGCACAAAAAGTTCCAGCAATTTGCCTTAAAGCACTAGTTTATTATGAGGGTTTTCTTATCGATAAATGAATACATATGAACGTAAATATTCAAATAGATAAATAAATTGATTAACAAACTGATACGAAAAAGGTATATTATATCAAAAAGCAAAGTTTTTTTTTAACTCTGTTTTATTCAGCAATCAGAAATACATAAGAATTCCTATAAGCTAAATTGACAATATTTGAGAGCGATGTCTAAGAAGAACTCTGGGTTTCTGGGTATTTTACTAAAATTTTACTAAAGGCAATACAGAAACATATGAAATTCAATAGAATGATTTGGTTTAGGATGGTAGATAATCCACAAAGCTGTAAAAATTTAGCGAGCTATCAATTCAGGGATAAAAATCACTTTAACAATTTAACAAGAAGAAAGAAAATACATCAACAATGTTCAGCAAGAGCCATTGAAGCACAAAAATTTAAATATAAATACACGTCTCTGTTTGGATCGAACTGAATATATATTTTATTCCCGTCGATCACATTTATTGATTACTTTCCACTGGCGTATATACTTTTAACGAATCCATCAGTAAAACGAAGTCATTCAATTTCAACTTTCGGACTTTGTGACAGACGTACCTACATATGCGACGTAATCAAGCGCACTCTATTATGTGACATATGCACATAGCGTCGGCGCTCGCGAATTTAAAATAGGGAATGGGCAACCCATTGTGCAGAAATTGAAAAATAAATTGGTATCAATAATCTATTCCTGGTTACGCGTGGCGTGCTTGTTATATTTATTATTCAATAGCCGGTTCGGTTTATGGGCAGAACGCGCGAAATGGTTTCATTTCATTGCAGACGAAGATCTCCCCGTTCAAATGTATCTAGATGGAAACTATAAAAAGAAGACGATTATTTTAATGTCGCTACAAAATTGAAACGTGCCAGTTTTAA